ATCTGAATTACAAGCCAAGAGCAATAAACGAAGTATTTGCAGTAAAACAGTTCATGGAACGAGACGAATTCTGGACTTTAGTCTTGATGATGATTGTAACGAGATTGTTAGCTCGTCTCAAGAAGCTATCTGCACATGTTCACGCACAGCAAGCGGAAAAAAATCAGTAATGTCAAAGCAAGGTATAAGGTTTGCTTCAGAAATCTTCACACTTTTATACTATCCTCAGTACATTGTTCTTTAATCATTTCAGTTTTAAGGGTGGGTGAGTTGGCGCATTATTAGAGAAATTACGATTTTAGAACGGCAACGAGACGGCCAGAACAAACTCCTTCAAATAAATAGTAGCAAAGATAATTCGTGTTATATTATCAATCGTATGAATTTAGTACAGTCTTAGAAGTTGAAGACGTGGGTTTTATGTTTGGGAAGAGTTCTGCTGAAACCATTTTGCAGTTGCACTTTTTGCGGCTTGAAATGCAGTCGTTGTATCAAGACGTGAAAATATGTGATTTGCGTTATAGACAGAGCATGGACAATGTCTAAATGATTCATATATTGTAATTATTCAATTCTTTTCAATGATTTATTGTATTAGGCCTACTCTGGGACCTTAACTCGCCTTAACTCGCCCTAACTCGCCTTATCTCGCCCTATCTCGCAAGAGAAAAAGATCGAATTTTGCTTAACTCGCCCAATCTCGCCTTATCTCGCAATGAGAAGTTGACAGAATTTTGCTTAACTCGCCTAAACTCGCCCTATTTTGCAATAATAACCGGCACAGTTTCACGTCAGTAAAACACAAATACTGTCAATCAAAATTCTTTAGACTCACAATACTCACTTATATATTCTATGAGTTTGGCATTGCAACTGACATCAACATACAAGTATGTAAGCCTGATTATCTGAAATGTTATCATATTTTTAATTTACTACATTCTCTGTAATGCCATAAAGCTGTATTGATCAAATAATTCCACCAACTACTCTACTTTAATACAGTAACAGGGCTGCAAATAAATATTTGACTTGACAGGACATTTGTCCGATCACTTTTAATTTTGGTCGGAATAACTTGAATTTGGTCGGACAAAAACCAACATCACTAAATTTGGTCGGACATATATACGTCACAAAATATATATGTCATGAGACAAGTATGTATAGCCATTCCGGCACAACATTAAGTAAAATGCTAGAATGCCTTATTGCAAAATGCAAATTTGCAATAGGATTTTGTCACAGCAAAAAAATGTATAATGTGACAAATTTTTTTGTGATCAGACCAATGTCCGATCAAAATTACTTTTGCTCGGACATTTGCCAAATTTAGTCGGACATTGTCCGATGTCCGACAGTAATTTGCAGCCCTGCAGTAAGCAGGCCTTAGCAGGCATACTGTATACAGTAATACCCAATATTTAATAAATCACAGTGAAAATAATCGAACATAATAACAGAACCCAAACTGCCAAGTATGGTTGAAAATTAATATTCCCATATATACTAATATACAGATCACTTATCTATTCTATTTCAACTATACAATGATATCAAAACATCAAAAGTACTTGCTTAGCTTTTATGCAGCTATCAGCCTATCACATGAATAACAAATTTTAAAAGGTCTCTGTGATATCAACAGCTCAAACTGCAAAGTTATTCGTTGAACTGTTTTTATATACAACCGGCAACAGAGCTACTGAACCAACGATACGCGCAGAATTTTAGGAGAAATATTTTAATACACAATCACATTCACAAAATTCGTGAAAATATAGATTTACAGTAAAAGCAAAGTTAAAGGTGAATAGTGTAGTAAACATACCGTGCTTGCCTGTCTGTGACCAACATTAAATTTAGTAGAAACAATCTGTAGGGACAAGGCTTTTTGAATTTCATTCTAATATGATGATATTAAAAAAACTTTAAAATGTTGATGCATATCCCGCCATATTGCCTTTGCGGAATCGAATGATTCTGACTTATAGACTGCGTAGACCTCCCCCCCCCCGACCACAGAGGAATTACCGCGATGATGGGAAAGAAGATTCCGTTTACCAGGGGGGCGGGATGCTGTCTGGGAACAGATATTGAAAATATTGCTCCCTTCAGCGGAAAAAGTACAATCTGCTTGCAATACTTAGTGTTAGTGTTAATGAGAGGCAGTGAATTCTGAATATAAAAACTTGATAGGAAATAGGAATATATATTATTAAACAATAATACAGTTTTATACAGAAGAATCATTGTCATTTACATTCATTTACGTTTCCAAAGCAAGTAAGTTGGGCATTAATTTTAATATTATGAGCGTTGGTTATCATTTAATATATCATTGTGTGATTGTGGTTCGAAATTTCGTTAATTAAAATAGTTATTAAAGTGCTAAATTTAATAGTAAATAATCTATAATTTCCTAGCAAGCTTTTTAGTTTCTCTTTGTTTCATATCAATGTTTATATTATATTAAATTAAATAAAAAATTGAATACAAGGACTGCTGCTTGCAAACAAATTGGAACCTAATTGATAATGTCATGATTCATGAAAACAGCTAAAAATTACAAAATATGTGGTGAAGCTAGTCATAGCAAGTTAGCAACTGATACTGTGAAGATTTAGGAAACAATGCAGTTCTATACACACTATGCATAATGCCTCAAATTATACAGTTTGGCATCTGGCTACCAGCCTCGTTTTGATGCAACTTGTTTCCAGGTCCCGAGTTATTGTGCATATCATGTATGTATTGTAGAATATAGAATAAAACACTTTTCTAGGCCTGCTACTTCAAGTACTGCATACTTGCTTTGCATAATGCACAAACAAAGCAAAATACATAGTGTGTATACAATATCCAGATTTTTCCTTAACTCGCCTTATCTCGCCTTAACTCGCAAGGGTCAGTAGCCAGATTTTTCCTTAACTCGCCCTATCTCGCCTTAACTCGCATAGGCTCGCCTTATCTCGCGGCGAGTTAAGGTCCCAGAGCAGGCCTTGTATTGGTAGCCGTTTGCATCGCGTTGCCGTCCTAAAATCATAAGGTCTCTATTATGTACAGTATGTAACCTGATTCGTTGTGTATTCATATATAACGTCATTTTATGGGGCTTTCCCAAACAAAATAATAATTTTTAAAAACATTTAGAGATTGTTACCTCGTCTCAAGAAGCAATCTGCACACGTTCACGCACAGCAGGCGGGAAAATATCAGTAATGTCAAAGCAAGGTATAAGGTTTGCTTCAGAAATCTTCAGAAATCACACTTTTTAAAGCAAGAGATTTAAATGATTAATTGAAGTACTGTACTGTATCAGGGTTCGTAGCGGTCTTTGAAATCCTTGAAAGTCTTTAAATTTGAATGCAGGTCTTTGAAAAGTCTTTGAATTGTGTGAAAAAGTGAAGAAAGTCTTTAAATTCTTTAGTGAGTATGGACGAAAAAATGCATTTTAGGATGTTATTTGACGGGACTAATTACCTGGTAAAAATGGTGCTTATATATCGCAATTTTTCAACAGCTGATTGCTCTCAAAGGTCTTTGAAAAGCCTTTGACAACAGGCAGAAAAAATCTTTGAAAGTCTTAATGAATATTTTTGGTCTTGGAGACTACGAACCCTGTGTATACTATCCTCAGTACATTGTTCTTTATTTTCAGTTTTAAGGGTGGGTGAGTTGGCGCATTATGAGAGATATTAGAGACCTTACGATTTTAGGACGGCAACGCTACGGCAACGGCTATACCAATACAATAGATCATTGAAAAGAATTGAGTAATTACAATATATGAATAATTTAGACATTGTCCTTTAGAGATTGTTACCTCGTCTCAAGAAGCAATCTGCACACGTTCACGCACAGCAGGCGGAAAAAAATCAGTAATGCCAAAGCAAGGTAAGGTCTCTATTAGTATAGGTAATAGCATCGTTTCGAGTGCAATTTGGATATAACATGCACGAGTGAGTTTTTAAAAGACCTCAACGGACGAGTGCTGTTTGAGGTCTTTGAAAAACTCACGAGTGCATGTTTATCCAAATTTCACGAGAAAAATGTTCGAGACAATTGTAGTTTTAACTTGCGCGTTTATAGCGAACATTCCACCGGCAAACTTTTCCTGGCTTTGTTATATCACATTATACAACGCCAACAGCTTGAAAATTCCACTCAACCATGTAATTTTTGTTAGTCTTGTTTAAAGGACATTGGCAACCAAAATTTTTATTGCTTATATCTATTAGGTATACTTACGGAATACTTAATTTTATATTTTGACCGGTTTGTCGCGTTTAGTTGTTGAGAAAATGTAATAAAAAGTTCAACAGTTGTCCGCCATTTTGAAAATAAACATATATGCCACAGCAAACATTATCTGACGTCATTAGCTGCGTAAACACAATTTCATGACTATAAAACAATACCGAGTATTACCACGCGTAGTGCACTTTGAGCTAAAACCAAAGGCAGAAAAGTTTTACCAACTATGTACCTTGTTTGTAACACTATTTCTCATAGTATATATCCTAATCCGTGGCGAATAAACGCAGAAATTCGAGTGTAACAAGGCAAACACTAATGCAATATTTTATGATTAATTACCTGCATTGTCAATTGCGCCATTCCTTGCTTTCCCAGTCGCTCGATATGTTTTTATCTGATAGTGTAGACTTTTCTTGTTTGATTGCGAAGAGTGTTGGCCAGTATAACGCTCAAAACGACATATTTTTAGCGTAACACGCACGCAATAGAATTCTCTCTTGTTGTTTTGGTGCTACCCATCTAATGACGTCACAAAGTTCATTGACCTTCGAGATAATTTTTCAAAACTTTTTTCCAAGATGGCGGCGAAACACAAAGTTTGCATGCATTTTACTCGTAGACTAAAATGTTCGAGAAGGAAATGATAATATTTTCATAGTTAGGTCGTCAAGTAGAATTGAAATAGCCAATAAAAAATTTGTTTTGTTTTGAAGCAATCTGTGACCGTTGCCCCAGAGTAGATACTGGATGTAGTCTCTCCTCTGTGCCGTTACTTCTTTAAACTAAAGTGCTTTAAACTGATTGGTTGATTTAATCATCACAATGTTTTTCCACCAATCAGATCAGTTTGTTACAGATTTTTGCACTGTGATTACAGAAAATTGCACTGTGTTTAGAAAAAATTGCAGTGTGATAGCAGAAAATTGCACTGTGATTACAAAAAATTGCAATGTGATTACAGAAAATTGCACTGCTGTTTGGGATTAACTGCACTTAAATCAACCAACCACTGTCGAGTAATATCTTTATGTATGTTTAATATTATGTATGTAACCTAATTCGTTGTGTATTCATATATAACGTCATTTTATGGGGCTTTCCCAAACAAAATAAGAGTTTTTTAAAAAAAATCAGAGTGCTTTCATTTGAGGTCGCAGCGCAACATCGCAAGTAGCAACATAAACACAGCTCTCGTGCATAGGGCTAAATATTTATTGAATGAGTTATAGAAAGGTTTTGCAGATGGAAATTTCGAGTGTCAATTTTATAAATTTATCAAACCTAACCAGGAGCAGTGGCGAAAAATGCAACTACTGCATAGGCCCTCTGGCATAGACTGCGAGCAGTCCCTCCTTAGAAGAAAAGGAGGCACTGCAGACAACATATCAAGAAACTAAATACGCTTTGTCCACACATTACAAAATTCCGATTGGTTGATGTAGTTGATTGACAGATTTTTTTTGAAAACGTTAATTACAGCAACTTAAAACTTCAAATTTGAAAGTCGACCGTCAAATTATGTCATATTAGGGACCGGTCATTATTTATGGCAGGGGTGGGGGCCGAAGAGAAAGTATAATGAAGCCGGAAAAAATCATTACCCCACC